GTTTCTATGGGTCAGGACTCTGAGAATGACAAGGCTGCAGTCGAGGTGTCAGCAGGGCTGCTGTCTTATCTGAGGCTCAACTGGGAAAGGATTTGCTTCTAAGCTCCTGTGGTTGGCAGAATTCAGTTTCTTGTGGGCTGTTGGACTGAGGGCCTCAGTTTCTTGCTTTCAGCTGGAGATTCCCCTCACGTGGCTGTCTCAGTAGGCAGCTCACAGCAGGGCAGCTTGCTTTTTCAAAGGCTGTAAGGGAGAGAAACTTGTAGCAGAATGGATGTTATAGTCACATATATCCTGTCATTTTTGCCTCTGTTGGTAACAAGCAGATCACAGGACCTGCCCGCACAAGGCGAGGGGATTCCCCAAGGCAGGGATAAGAAGAGAAAGAGGTCTCTTTAGAGACTGCCACACCTGGGGTGGCCAGGAATATGGCTTCTCTTCATTCTTGCTTCTCTGTGCATTCTCCTCCTTAACTAGGAGCATGTTTCTTGTCCCTTCTGTTTTTTTCCTTCCTTCTGACCTACAAAGAATTCAACAGCCCTGGGTGACTCTTCCTCTTTTCTGAGGTACAATGCAAATGAAAAGGTAGCAGGAAACTGTGCCTTAGTAAGCAACTCATGCTGTTGGGGCTCTCCCATGACAACCGGTGTTTTGAGTGTGTGATGTGCTCTTCAAGCGGGTGTTTCTAAGTCATAATGTGGCTTATATAAAGGACCCAAGTGAGGTCTTCTCAGCTCTCGTGTCTTCTGGTCACTGTTCTTTTTAAGCAAGCACTGAATTCCAAAACTTGTTCACTTTCAGAGTGCCATCCTTTTAGGGCCTGTTGCTGTGACTGTCTTGATAGATTTTTGTTTAGAATAATAAGCAATTTGGGTCCTTTTACTCTTTGGCCTCATTAACTGCTTTTTTGTGTTATTTTCCTTTTCTCCCCAGTCATCTGTTGGGTGTTGTTTCTTGCTTTTCTCTGAGGTGTATTAGTCTTCAGTTATTGCTCTTCCTCATTGCTGAGGAGACTGTGTAGTACGGTGGTTAAGAACAAAGACTGAAGCTACACTGCCTGGGCTCGAACCCAGCTTCTGCCGTTTATTAGCTAAATAATCTTGAGCAAGTTATTCAGCTTTGTTTCTGTGTGGCTGGTGTCAACAGGTCTGAATTTCCCACTGGCCAACAAGCCTCTGATTGCTGCTGCCAGTCTCACTTTGCTCCCGAGATATATGTACAGATGTCGGAGCAGACCATTTGCCCTTTATTACTTCAGGAAACTTGACCCCAAGCCCTTTTCTGGTCTCCTGGCGAACTGGGCTGGAACATATTTGAGCTTATGAGGATACTTCTTTTTTTGTTGTCGTTGACTTCACCCTAGTACTTGCGTTGCTTCCTAAGGATGAGGATTATGTCCTTTTTCCAATGGCACATTTAATGAGCACTTACTGCTAGCCATGAGCTTTATTAAACTATTTGTAGGCATTATGTCTTTTAACCCATAAGTCAACATCTAGTTGTTGTACTGATATCATTCCCATACTAGAGATGAAGAAACTAAGGCTTAGAGAAATTAAACAACATGCTCAGGGGCTTCAGGGCTGATTGGGGAATTCAGCTCCGTGTTTCTGCAAAGCACGTGCTTGTAATGACCAGAGGACACTGTCTCCCATAGAGGACGCTCAGACCCCTCGTAGTGAACTAGCTCCTTGGCAGAAAGAGGCTAAGAATCCAAAACAATCATGTCTCAGGGGCACAAGATCTTTTTCGCTGCTTCTCCAGCCTTAGTGTCATGTTAGCTTTTGAACGCTCTTGATTTTGATACCAGCCTGGGGGCAGCAGGCTTGACCGCACCCTGGAGAGTAAAGTATACATTCAAAAAGGAGTGTATTCTTTTTAGCTAGCTTTTATGTGACTATTGTGGAATCTTAACATTGTATATGATTCATGATTAGGAAATACTGGGCTTTTAAAAATCAAAACCAGGATTCATGCATCCAGATTGTTCTCTTTAAGTGCATCAGCCAAGTTAATTGCTTATAATCTGGCCATACTGCCATTATTCTGCATTCTTTTAAATGAACTTCATCTCTGTCACCTTATAACACCTTCCCCACCTACAGTGCTTAGCACAGTGTCTTCTGCCAAATGGGAAGTTCAATAAAGTCAGTTGCTGAAGTTGCTTATAATGCTTTTGAATAACCACAGTGGTGGTAAATTACCATCTTCGAGGATGAATTTGAGTCTTTGAACTAATCCATTGAAATATTTTCCATTATAGCAAATAAAGTGGTTTTTGTTAGGAAAAAATCAAGGGTAATGTTTCTTGTGAACATCGTACACAGGGTCTAGAGGTAAAAGAAGCGTACTGAACTCATTCTGAGGAGTAGGTGTCATTGGAGTGAGGCCCAAAGAGGATGACCTGGAAGGAGTCAAGGAGTGCTTTTCTCAAACATAAAGTTCTGGCACTTCTGTTTCAAAGTTGGAATGGCCTCACCTGGTGGGTCCTTTTTCTTTTTCGTATTTCCCTTTTCCTCTTCCATTCCCTAGCTGGCAAGTGCATGCTGCCATCAGAGAGGCTGTAAGTAGTGTGGTGCTGAGGACAGCCTTGGTGATAGGCTGCCTGCTGTTACCTCCCACAGATGCCCACTGCGTGCTCAGCACTACAGTGTGCACCAGCAGAATTAGCACTGATGGAAATGATTCATTCCCTCCTTTCAAGAGTTTGTCATCAAAAAAAGAAACTCAGTACTGTTATGAAGAATGCTAACAAATGCATAGCTACAGCTTTCTGTTTGAACATGTTAGTAAAGGCTATTAACTAAGGTGGGGATTTTTTGTTTAGCACTCCATTCAGACCAATTTAGAAGAGTTTTTTGTTGTTGTTTTTTGTTTGTAGAGATAGGGTCTCACTCTTGCTCAGGCTAGTCTTGAACTCTGGGCCTCAAGTGATCCTCCCACCTTGGCCTCCCAAACTGCTAGGATTTCAGGTGTGAGCCACTGCGCCCAGCCTAGAAAAGTCTTATATTGCCGTCAAAAGTATGATTTGAACCTATCTCCAAAATGATCACATAGGGAAAAAAGAGTCTGTGAATTTATTAGACATCTACCATAATTGCTTTAGTAAGCACAGTAGTTGAAATAATCTTTTCAGGTGGACACTGTGCATATATTATGTTTAAGTTTCATAGCTGCTCTGCAAGCTATGTATTATTGTCTTAAAGACTTAGAAACTGAGCCTTAGAAGGAGTAAATTACTTGGCAAAGATCACACTGCTTTTAAATAGCATAGGTGGGGTTCAAACCTATTTATTTTAAACCTGTGTCAAACCTTACTGCATTTCTCATGCTTTTAAAAGGTTTTTGTGCCAAGTGGCCAGGCACATAAATCCATAGCTAGCCAGTGAGCATGTTCCTCTCAATGTGGGGTATAATCTTCAGTTCTTCCCTGCTATTTTTATTGATGTCGGCAAGTTCTTTCTGTATTACTAGGGAAGCTCTCTAGATTTATATGGTGTTGGTTCCATCCCCTCCCTTCTTAGTCTGCTCTTCCTCCCTTACGGTTTGCATAACTTGAAGTTTCTGTTTATTCTTCAAGTAACTGAGGTGACGCTGTCTCTTATGGTACCTCAGTGTATGGGTGGAGCCGTGTCACAAGTATTATTAATGTCATCTCTCTGAATTAACATTTAGGCTTCAGGCAATGAAAGTTAACTTAGGCTTCTGTTTGATCAGTGTTGTCTACTTGGAGTCACATGTTCTTCACATAAAATGAGCAATAGTTGCATTCTACCTGGTAGAAGTGGGGTGTTTTTATTTGGGGCCCTTCTGTGAAAGGAAAGAATGGAAAGTCCTATTTCTAGGTTATTGACCCTAAAATGTTAAGAAATGAAAAAACAAAAAGTAACATATTGTGCTGAATGACTTTCTCTTGGAAAAAGGAAGGCACTTTGCTGAGCATATTCCATTATTCCATAAATTATATGAATCTTCAATATTTGGTGAATTAGACCTGTGGACAATGTAGCAATTCTGATCATTAAGCATTGGGTGTCCCTGGTGCTGGCATAATACCTTTGTTGGATCAAAACATGCTTGACTTTGATTTTCATCTTATTTGATTCTCGCTACCACAGTATTGTAGGAGACATATGATCCTCTTTTAGAGTTGAAAGAATTGAGACTGGCAGAAGATGAATGGATTTTCCCAAGGTCACATGGCTAATAAGTGGTAGGATTTCGGACCAAGGTTTTCTTATCTATGTGTGGTATCCTTTGGTAGATATTGGTGGTTTGGGTTGCTTTATTACTCAACTTTCCTATCCTGTAAATTTTGAACAATTTGAGAAATAGAGCAAGGATTCAAATGGGAATCAGCATATCTAGTAGCTTAATTACTGTTAAAATCAGGATTGGAGAACTCAAAAGTGTCAGTTACCTTCTTCTCTGCAACTAAAACATGGATTTAACCCTAGCAACCCTGACCATGTCCTCCAGTGACAGCTAGAAAGAAGCTGGGATAGAGGGAGCTGCCTGGCCCTCTGGGAGGAGGGGCCACTGACTTGCTTACCAAGTGGAAATCAGCTGGCTGTAGGTGCTGTAGGGAACTGGAAGGAGGCCCTTGGTGCCTGGCTCAGAGCAGTGGCTCTTCTGGTCCTCCCAGGCAGATTTGTCCCTCACTTTTGAAGAAAAGTAAGAAGGAGGTTGGGGAGAAGAGATGGAGAGAGGAAGTAGGTTACTCTAATACTGTTCCTTCCTAGAAAACAGACTAAAAACCTCTGCCTGAAAACATCATGGAGAATATTTTAAGGGTTCTTCAACAGTGGAAATATACTGCTCTTTAATTTTATTTCCCCCTTAGGATGATTTTTCTATGTTATTATTTTCTCTTTCCTTTTTGTTTTTGGAAAAAAACACCTTACTCTGTGTTTTGGGTGTAAAGAAAAGAAGACTAACGATAGAAACCAGGAAATGGCCTTTATGAGATGTGTAACTAATCAAATTCTTTCTTTTTATATCAGGTGATGGATATGTGCTGGAACAATGGGAGAAGCTGGTAGCTTATAGGAAGCCAAGATGACAAGAACTTTTTTAAATAATCCGTAAGTAAATTTTTGTTATTTCTTTAAGAAACCATTGTAAAAGGATGCACAGCTTAACAATTTAAAAGAGAAAATGTTTTATAAAGTAAATATCCAAACCCTTCAGACAATTGAGGCTAACATTTGAGCAATTTTACTTTTGCATAATTCTTTCTTGGTAGGGTGTATCATTTTAAGTTGGGTGCATCAGTTTGGTGGATAGAGCATAAGTATTTGAAGAATTAAAAGGAGATACCTTGCACAAGGTCTGCATTTAAATTAAACTTGGAATGGCCTGTCTGACATGCAGATATTTTGAGTCCCAGTTGTTCCTTGGGCTGCATTTCTTACTTAAGTCCTTTTTGCGGGTATATTTTTGAAGTAAATATGAACAAATTTGGTAAATATGATTAAAATTGAGTTCTTTGTCTACACCTTCTCCATATCCCTCTTTGTATGTGTCATTTTTTATACATTGGAGGCCACTGAATGTTTGTTAATTATCTGACAGTTACATGTGATTGACTTTGGTTTTATTATGATAGTGATAATGTTAATATGTGGGGTAGCTTAGTGGAAAGATCATATATTTTTGAGTCAGACATCCCTACGCCTGACTTGCTCTCGTGCTTTTTAGTGGTTACTCAACCTCTCAAAACCTCAGTTGACTCATCTGTATGTTGGATTTGGTAATACCTCTCATGAAATGAAAGACTGTGGAAAGTACTTTGTGCTATGAGTGGTACATTTTAAGGTCACAATAATGTACTCTTTTTCCTTGTATTTGTGTCATGATTTATAATTTACAGGCCTTTATTCTGACTCAAAAGATTGGCCAGCTCGAGTTCCTTAGCTGCTGCCCAGCAGTAGTGATTAACATTGTAGGTAGCATATACTAAATGCTAACGAGCTGCCAAAGTGGAAGGAGGGGTTGTAGTGTTTGAAGGTTTCCCTGATGTAAATACTCCTACCAGGGCTACCGACAAAAGTCACCAAAACCAGGGTTGGGAAGTGATTTGCAGTAGCACACCATTACATAGTTTTCTACCAACCAGATGAGCCTTCAGTATTTATTGCTTTTTTTAGTATAATTTATTTTAATTTTAAGTTTATATAATTTGACTTTTAATGATGGCAGTGTTTAACAATGAGTTTGCCAAAAATCCTGAGACTTTAACAATTGGCTCTAATGGACTGGTATAAGCTGGCTTCAACACACCACTCGCTAATTGTAGGTTTCCTGTTATAAAGACATTTCTAAGCCACAATTCTTCAATTATCTGTCTCAGCCCTGGTGGTAAGAATTCGGTTTGGTTGATAAAAGCAGGGTTGATTTTTGAATCAGTGCTTGGTGTAACCCAAGTTGTCATGCTCGCATAAGCTTCTGGAATTGAAAATAAATACCAAGACCAGTTTAGAATTTAAACCTACTTGCTTAAGAGTGTGACTGGAGTTCTTGACGCAGCTTTGTAACTGACCCCTGGCATCTTTTGCCTATTCTGGCTGTGGAGTGATAGTACTTGGAGACGGGACAGTTTGCTCACTATGTACTGAACTTTTTCTCTCCCTTCCCATACTCCCTCAAGTCTGAATTCCTTTAGGTAGTGACACTAAGGGGGACAAGCAGCCGGGGTTCCTCCTGGCTAAACACTCATGCAGCTTTGCTTTTGATTCAAAAATTGAGTTTTAATGAAAAGTGAATTGCCTCCAGAGAGAGAAACAAAACAAAACCTGGGCAGTTTAAAGTTCATCTTGGCCTGATTAAATTTTTAGGAAGTAAAATGGAGGAAAGCAAGGAAACTGGATCAGATATCTCAATGTTTCTTCTAGAAGTAGTTTCTTCTTCAGTTTTGTAACTTGCCCTTTAGAAGGGAACAATTGAAGCCCGAGATTGCTAAGTAACAGCTAAGATTGTGGTGGTTGTTTTTATTTTAAATCTCACCCACCTAGTTCTCAAAACACATTCTTTATTGAACCTTAAAAAATGCCTTGGATATTTCAAAACATTCGTTTGTGTCAGTTCTTTGAATCAGACTTACATAATCTTAAAACACTCATTTCCCTTATTTCCTCTTAAAACAAAGGATATTTTTATAGTTCCTACTGAGTCAGGGATAGACTTGGATTATTGCAAAAGTAATTGTTGTCCATTTCAAGAGGAACCTTGTGATTAAAATCTGAGGGACTTGCCTTTGGATTATGAAATGTTGACCTGTGGCTTAATCAAGTAAGTAACAGTATCGTTGGTAACTTTGAAAGCAAACATGGGAATAATAATAGAGAAATTTTACTACAGATAAAATGCTCTCATTTATATTATTAATACCATCTCTCCCCCCAGGATGGGCCTTATGTTGTTTCTGAACATCCCCAGTATAGACGAATTTTTTATGAGACAGTTGCTAGGTGTATAGTCTTCAGATATGTAAATTTTACAGTCTTGCATTATGTTCACATTAAGAAACTCAGTAGTTTGCTGGATACTAGGGAGTCATGGGTTTTGAGGGTGGATTCCAGTACAAATAAGACAGGCTTACTCCACTTTTAGAGTTGACGTTAGGAGTTGATAATCATGCCTGAATATAGAAAACTGTAATTTCAAACTGAATGTGGTAGATGTTATAAAAGATATATAAAATACTTAGGAAACAGAAGAGAGAAATTACCTGCGTAGCCAGAGGCTAGATCAGGGAAGATTTTAGGAGCAGATGACATTTGAATTAGGTATTTAATGATTGATACCTTTTTATTAAAATACCTTTTATCAAATTATAAAAGTTAACATTGCTAATTGGAAAGAACTTTAAAAATGTGAAAATTATTAAAAAACTCATCAATATTATCACTATCCAGAGATTCTATTGTTAATATTGGGTTTCTGCCATAATAATATGTCGGAAAGAGTATTCTGCCATACTCTTTCTATGCCTAGATTAGATACATGCTTTTTTTCCGCTCCAAAATGGGTCAAGTTATAACTATTGTCTTAAAATCTGCTTCAGTTGACAATATATTGAGACAATGCCACGTCAATAAATATACATCTACATCATTTTTGTTGCTATATAGCATTCATGTGTATGTGGTCTATAATGTTCCCTGTTACTGGACATTTTAGTCATTTTCCTCTTTTCCTTGTAAAGAACACTATAATGCACATCTTTGTGCATCTGTCCTGGTGCACTTACTCAATTATCTGGACAGGATCTTTGAACAGAGTTAGGGGCAGTGCTTAGTGAACACTCTCGGTAGAAGAAACAATTTGAGCAGAAAGGCAAAGTGGTAAGGAAATATTGCATTCTGGAAAAAGGCTAGAATTGTAGTTTAGTAGAACGCAAAGAGAGAAGGGAAGGGGTGCTAATTAGGCTGGAAAAAAGATAGAGGGCCTTTGATGATAAGTCTTTTATTCATTTTCACATGGGAGCCATTTTGGATATAGACATATTATACCTTAAATGATTGACTCTGAATGTCTTCAGTTGACCTTAATTTTTCTTATTTTGGGAAGAAATAAATCTTAATAATTTTGCTTTCCAAATGCTCAAGAACAATCTTTTTAAACTTCCGAGAGATTTAAGAAACTAACCAATCAGAGCATGAAAAAGAAATAGAAGTCATGGGAAAAGTGTGTGTATGTGTGTGTATGTGTGTGTAGAAAAAACTGTAAGACTAGAGGTTTTGAAAAGTGAAGGAAAGATCATTAATAGTTCTATTTTCTACACTTAAGGAATTTTTACAAATTATTTATAATTAAAATTTAAAGATAATTTGGAAAAGATGTGAATTAGGGGAAACATGTCATGTTTATTAATAACACTACCTTTTATTTACTGGGTACAGTCATGCATTGTTTAATGATGAGGATATGTTCTGAGAAATGCATCGTTAGGCAATTTCGTCATTGTGCAAACATCATGGAGTATACTTAGACCTAGCAACTATATGGTATAGCCTGTTGCTCCTAGGCTACAAAACCTGTACAGCAAGGTAATGTAATGAATACTGTAGGTAATTGTAATATAATTGTAAGTATTTGTATATCTAAACATATCTACATATAGAAAAGGTACAGTATTATAATCTTAATGGAACCGCTGTCACATATGCGGCAGATTGTTGACCAACACGTCGTTATGTAGCACATAGATATACTTGTTTGTGTTTATGTGTTTTAAATGTAGACGGTCCCTGACTTATGGTTCAACTTAAGATTTTTCAACTTTACAATGGTGCGGAAGTGATATGTATTCAGTAGAAACTGTCCTTTGAATACCCATACAACCATTGTTTTTCACTTTCAGTACAGTAGTCAATAAATTACATGAGATATTCAACACTTTATTAAAAGATAGGGTTCATGTTAGATGATTTACCCAACTGTAGGCTAATGTAAGTGTTCTGAGCATGTTTAAGGTAGGATAGGCTAAGCTATGATGTTTGATATGTTAGGTTAAATATTAAATACATTTTCAACTTAAGGATATTTTCAATTAATGATGGGTTTATCAAGATGCAACCTCATCCAAAGTTGAGGAGCATCTGTACATAGTTTTACTTAATCTCTCAACAACCTTCTTAGGAAGAGTCTAGGATTATCTGCATTTTGCAGGCGAAGCCATGTCCTCAGTGGTTGACTTGCCTAAGGTGGGTGAGAGAGGACCAGATTTGGCGTTCTAGTTCAGGCACTGCTGAGGCCTTGGGCAAGCCCAGGAATTTCACTAGGACGGTTGTGAGGATACAATGATCTGAAAGATTTTGAGAACAGCATAAGGTATCATAGAAATTGAGGGACTGCTTTTTATAACATGACACCTTCTTTTGTCATTACAGGAGGGAAGAAAGCTCTGCTCTAGTCATTTCCGTTCCCTTTGTGTTAGCTTATATTAATTGTCAGAACGTTTGCTGCTCCCTCTAAGAGTGTGGTGCGGATGCTATGTATCCAAGTAACTCCATCCCTGTTGAGACGATTGTACTTTCCCACCCTACTGAATGCTGATACCCCATGGCTGGCTTGTCCGTAG